TTAATGCATTTGCATTGAAAACAGCGCCGAGCTCTCGGTAATTATAGCGTGTTTTTTTTCTTCATTTCGTTATTACACTCTGTTGAGAATTTAGTAATGAAAAAAAAAAAATAACGCGCACACACACTCAATTCAATATTGTTTGGATATGTGCGTGTTGTTGTTTTTTCCTTCGCTGCCTGGGCCGCGCTGTCTCTAATTTTATACGCATACACATGATCTCTAAATGGGAGTGCGTACATAATTACACTTTTAACAAACAGAAATCGTAGCTAACGAGATTGGCTACAACAAGCAGAAATGCTGTGCTATGTCGACGTGACATTGTCTTGAACAATTTTCATTCGATGTGTATAATTTTCAGCGTGCAGTTTTTTTCCTTCTTCTCGCTCTATCTCATTTCAACATTTAAAAGTGCTTGAACAAATGAACATTTTTGAGGTGAAGTGAGGGATTTGACACGCCGGCAGCAAGGTCGATTTTGATAATCTCAATTTTAATGCACATTCAATGCGATAATAATACCAAACATTCACATTACGTACGTACACAGCGTACACACCCATAATCTGGTATCGATCTCAACTAGTGGTCTCTGAACCAAACCACAACTCACCGCACCTCAATAACCATATGCAGTATCATCATCATCATCATCCAAGAGAACAACCATGAAAAAAGAGCCAAACCATTGCAATCAAATTTTCATGTAATGACCCATATGGTAATATCGCACCCATTTCAATATTCAACATTATTTTCGCCATTTTTTTTACCTTTTTCTCTGAACGAGTCTTGACCACAGCCACCAATTCTTCGACGTTTCAGTTTCAAATTTGGCGATGACTTGGCTTGACTTGACTTGTTGCATTGGCAACGTGAATACGATAAGAAAAATGTGTGTATGTGTCGGTGCTACATTTTGCCTTTGGTCTCAACATTGGCCAATGCATTGGTATCCCATAAAATTCAGCACGAAATTACCATTCCGTTTGATCGCATGCGAATTGCAAACATGATGTCCAGTCTCGGTTATGCCGTGCTGCCTTTTTATTATGTATGTGTGTGAGTATATAAAAATGCTAACGAAATTATATCTCATAATTGACTCCGAAACGATTTCATTTTATGAAGCGTCGTTTGCAGTCAATATAAAGAGAGAATATCCAGTTTGTGTGATGCGCTTGCAAACGATTCGATTTTTTTCTCCTTCTTACTTGATATTATTTTAAAGTGATGATCACAAGGATGACGAGGAAATCATTCAGCAGAATCGCATTGGAGCCAAAAGAGAAAAAAATGAACCGGGACAGAGAGAAGAGGGAGAGAGGGATAGGTGAGAGAAAGATAAAACTGATCACGTCAATAACACGGATGCTCTCTCAGTTGTCGCTGTCGCAAAAGCAAAGGCTCAGACAATTAGTTATGCAATAAATATTTATTTCGCACAAATATTCCGTTTTGCGCAAAATCATTTTTGCCGAGAAATAAATTGAGACATAATGCGCAAATTTTCATTTTAAAGCGCACAGTTATCATTTCATTGACAGAAATTGAAAAGTTCAGAAAATGTGAAGCCATTATCATTGCGCGTTTTGTACATAAAGTTCATTCCACGGCGAAATGAAATGAAGTTGAATAATTTTAATTACCTAAATGTGTAGATGGTGGAAGAGCTGGCGAGCGAGTGACAAGGTGACAAGGATTCTTGAATTTTTCTCAGTTTATCTGATTCGGTCTTCTTCCAAAAGTCACGACGCACGCAAACTACATGGTTTCGTTATCAGAACGAACTTTTTGCCGCTCGCATTGCTGTTCCCGTCCAACTTCAAATGAAACAAACATCACTTTTACATTTCTTCATGTTTCTTTTTCTCATAATGTGTTTCATGAGCGTGCACAACCCATTGAATGCATACCATTTAATAGAGGGCACAACATTTTGATATCCTTTCCTTAAATGTTTATGCGTTATCAGCACGAAAAAAAGCACCCAAAACGTGTGCGCACGCTAAGCTAATCAAAATGCAAATGAAACCGTAAGCGAATGCAAATGAAACGAAAATCCACTGCATATCGTCCAGTGAGTTTCTTATTTTTCGGGGTCTGTTTTGAAATGCAAAGAAAACACTCGTAAGCATTTATAAACAGATCTGATCCGATCAGATTACGATATAAATTCACTGAATTTAACGAACAATGGAGCATGAGAGATTCGTAATAAAATATAAAAATAAAGGAGAAAGAAGTAGCAACAGCAGCAGCAGGAAAAAACAAGACCGCAGAGCGTCGCTCTGCTCCGCTCTGCGTTCTTGAGTTTATAGATACTTTTTCTATTTTGTTGTTCCACAACAAACTATTTTATTGGCGCACTACATGAAATTTATTTTATTAAAGTAGTCTTTGAATTATATTTGTGATTTGAATGTCAATTCCAATTGTAATTTTAGTTTGGTTAAAATTATTTGTAAATCCACGAAATGAACTTTTTCTTCATTATTCTTCATTAATGTAACTCCTTTAAATCAAATAAATAATATGCGCATAGAATTTATCTCAACCATTACTTATACTAAAGGGTAAAAGAGTACTATACAAAAAAAGGAAAAAGTAATGTAAATTTTAAATAACATTTGATAATAAAAATTTGATTAGCGTTTCGAGATACTATGCACTTATTTGTCGTTACTGCCACTAGTTTGAATTGAATAAAAAATATGAGCATAAAATTGAAAGCCACTCTAATTCTGTTCATGGCTCGAAAAAGTATTAGAAAAAAAAAAGTAGATTAGTAGCTCTACATTTCATGTAGTGCTAAAAATGGATGAGCCTGATATAGCAGGTATCACATTTTGCTTTCGTAATAAAACCGCACACACACTGTATAAAACGCATCCACGACCGGTTTCAAATGATATTTGCATTTTGACCAGAACTACGTAGCAACAACAACAACAAGACACATACACACCGCCGAGAATTCTTATGGAAATGAAACCACCTTGCTTGAGTCAGCAGACCTACCCAGTCAGCAGACTTGAACAAACAATGCTACGAAAGAGTTTTTGAATGGATAAGAAGCATTCAAATATGTTTTCGAGAGCTTGTAAAACATAATAAGTATAGGTCTCTCTCGAATTATGCGAAACCACCCAAAATGCGATGCGACTAACGTGTATCATAAATTCGCTCAAAACATGAAAAAATGAAGAAGAAAAAATAACGTTTGCACTGAAAATTACATGTTTTTATGGAATTTTCAACGTGCTGACCAACGCATCAATTTTATTGTCTGCTACTCTATTAGCCGAAAAAATGAGCCAAGAGAAGCAAATGAAATTCTAGCCCGGAATTTATGTACATATCCACAGAGAATGTGTGCTGTTGTTGCCTTTACAAATATAACTCGTCACAACTCATCCATTCTGGATATGGGGATATTTGTTTGGAATGGTTCGTTAGACAACAACAACAACAACAACAAACATAACGATGAAAGAACACACAACTTTTATGGAAAGAAATTGAATTACTTTGTTTGTAATGCGAATGCTTGCAACAGATATTTATTTCCTTTGATGAATACTATAAAATGTGAACGCACCAGAAATGAAATGAGGATTGTGGCGAACACAAGAGAAAAAAACCCGTCCACATCGAGAGAAACATTCTTGGGATAATCACATAAAAAATAGAGAGAAACTTGGATTTCGTTCGTGAAGCAAATACGTTACTTTGTTCATGATGAAATGTTCGGTGTTACAAATGGAAATAAACGAATCAGCGAATTAGCTCCATGAAGATAATACGAAACTACGATTTTTTTTATCGTCATTTCGGGAATTTATCAATTTTTATTGCCAATTCGGGTACAATATTTTATAAACGGAGAAATTCATAGTTTTTTACTACTTACGGAGTGTGCGCGTGATAGTGGCGAAGAAGAGAGTCTTGATTGCACATTTCAGTCGTAATGAAATGGAAATATTTCACTGAAATGGAAATATTTCACTGAAGCTGAAGTAATTGTCTCTTTCTAACATTCATTCATCGGGTTCTTTTTTCTTTTGTGTTCATCGACTTTAATCAGTAATGTCGTCGACGAAATTGAATCGAAAGAATTCCATTTCAATTAAATAATAATTGAAATGTTCAAAGGCGACACGCTTTTAAAAAAAAACCATCTTAAGTATCCATTGGCAACGCAATTTGGATTTGGATTTATGAAAAAAAAGAGTGTTGTCCTTGAAACAACCGTAATAAATTCAAATTTTATTTATGGCGCCGTTTTTACTTATTTACTTTATGCTATCACGAAGGTGTGAGCTGAAGCTGCGAAAAGAGCAAAGACAAAACAAAATGCACTTGAATTCGGCTATTTTGAAGCAAACAGAGATAACTGGCTTGCTATAAAATGTAAGCATTAATGTGTGAGTGAGTGAGAGAGGGAGAAGGAGTGAAGCGGTCATAAAAAAATCGCTCATGCATATTTGTAAAACGCCAACTGAAGAGCGAAAAAAAGACTAACAGCAACGAATGCGCACTGTACGAAAGTTTCATCTCGAAAAATATCGAGAGAGTAACAATGGAATATTATCACCGTTGTATTATCATAATAAAAACGAGAATTATGTACTAAACAGCGCATTTTATTTTTGTTACTTTCTTGTTCATATCGTTTTTCTTTTCAGCGTTCCGTGTTGTTCTAGCACGGCAGACGAAAGAAATGTTGTTAAAAATTACACACATTTTGGCAAATGATATTCGCTTGTATTCCTTTTTTTTTAGCAAAAGCAAGTGAGCATTTTATTTTAAGATCGGTTGAACCGAGCAACGGACTCAAACGTATACACACACAGTATGGTAGAAGTAATATTTCGGGTACAATGGCATCGTATACATGAAGACGATTGCCTTCATAAATACTTCAATATGAAAATTGTTTCTTTATGTTCATATTCTTGTTATTTTTTTCTCCTTTTCATCTTTCGTTGGACTAGCATTCGCTCACGTGTACACACACACACACACAACACGCTGTGTGTTCCGTTGAATAATAAAAATCGTATTTAAATCAAGGGCATGTAAAAAATTCATAATCCGCAAAAGGAAAAACGAAAATTCAAATAATCTGACGAGATATTCTTCGCACAAACCGAAGAGAAACGAACAGAAGGAAACACACACAGAGAGCGCTAGACGTATCAACGAACGATTTTCCTACGTGCAATGTTTGATGGCATCGACCAATCACCATCATCATCCACACTCAACCAGCTCATGGACCCCAATTTTCGATTCATTTGGACATAAGCACTTGTTCACTCTCCTCATTCGTTTCGCTTTTTATTTTGGTTATTATGCGTCTGGAAAGTTTTAAGTGAATAGCCCCCGTTGAATTATTAACTATAAATGTTTTTTTCTGGATTGTGATTCGAATCTTTATTTATTCATGGCTTTAAGCTAAGAACGAGACACAAATTTTTGGTTTTTCTGCAGAAACTGACTTTAAATATCATTGTGACAAAAATATATGTATTTAATTTTATTAGAGAGTGGTACAAAAAGTAAACAGTGAAAGAAGATCGTCTATATATTTCATTGAAAGTTTTGATATGAACTCATTTGTCTGCTTGTGAAGCAAAAAGAAGAACAATCTTGACAGACGAAGAAACAAACGGAAAAGATTTTAACACAGAAAGAGACGAGATTTTTGTGAATTTTTGAGAAGTTGATTAAGTGAAAGTAATCAAAATGCAGCATCATCCTGGTTCTTGGTATATGCCATGGGGTGTGCCGTTACAGAAAATGGCATTGGCTGTTCCGTTCCATCCAACAGTTGCCGCAGTCGGTTATCACCAGACTCAAACGCCCGGCGTTCAAGTTGCCGCCGGCCCAACCACACAGCATCAACATCAACATCAACATCAGCACCAACACCAACAACAGCAACACACACAGTCACATCATCATCAGACCTATCAAACTCATCAGATGCATCCAGCTACAGCGGCACTTCACCAACAGCTACAGGTACGATGACATTCACTTTTGACTTTTCATGGCAAAACTTTCTGCTCTTTCGACGTATTTCGAAGTTCAGATTGAAATTTGAGCAATTTTCTATAAAACAAAAACGGAATACATGTCCTTTCAAACAAAAAAGAGTTGTCGCTTTTGTTCTTCTAACAACAAATTTCTCCCTTTTTTTTCTTTACATTTAGCATCATCACCCGGCAGCAGCTGCAATGTTCACACCGTTATCGTTACGAACGTTCATCAGCCCGACACCGAATCACATGAACTTAGGTCAACAGGCTTTAACAAATGTTGGATCATTGGTGGCGGCACAACATCAACAGCCCCATCAACCGATGCCACAAACGCAACAAAGTCCAGCACAAACGCGTCATCATCAAGCGGCCAACGGTTTGCCAACGACCACAAACAATAATCATACATTGCAATCGCATGCAAATCAATCGCAACTGAATGCAATCAATTTGAATGTCGGCTGCGTACCGTTGCGACAATCATCAGTTAACCCGAACGGTGGCGCCATGATGATTCCAGTTCAAAAGGTACATAAATTTTACTTAAATTCTCCATTCTCCCACCCTCCAACTCAGACCAACCAGTTTTGCCTGCCGGACAAAACACTTTCACGATTGAAATCTGCGAACGGGCGAGGCGGAGATCTACTGATGAATGGAAACAGTTTTGCAATTTCACCCTGTAAATCAATTCGATGGCAATACATTTTAATAGCTGTACGCTACAATGCGTGTGCACATTGATTTAATTTCGATGATAAATGACGGCCGTGTCCATTGGCAAATACAAATCAAATTGAATTGCTGACAAAAGCGTCAGCATATTGTTAGCTAGAGAAATTCCAATTCATATTCATGGCAAAGCACAACAACGAATTATTATCATTCGTTTCGAATCCAGTATCGACGGGTTGTGCTGTGTTCTTTTCTTGAGAAAAGTGGAGAAATTACTTTTGCCCGAGAACTGTCGTCTCTAAATCATTTGTTTGTTTGGCTGGATGGCTGGCGAAATGCAAATTGGTCGAAGCAGATGTCGTTCTCGAGACAAAATCAAATCAATGGACCAACGGAATGGGAATATTGTAATCGATCGATCTAAAAATCGTAAATCAATTCTAACAAATGACTCTGTTGCCATGCTAGTTCAAAGTTCAGTGCTGTCCTTTCTCTTGTTCTCACTCTCCGATGACACACCAGCCAGAAAATGCTACTTTTTTCCGTTTTGTAACAATTTGTTCGTTTGGTTTTCTTGTGTGAACACATACAAAAACCCATGTAATATTGAATGTTTTCATTTCTTCAATTTTCATCTGCTTTCTTTTTGTGTGTTTGCCTTGGCAAGAGGGGGAAAAATGGCCAAAGTCTTTATCCAAAATTAGGAGTCATTCGACGTTTTCCGCATCGTTTTTCTTGTTTTCCTTCATTTCATTTTCCATTTGTTGAGAGTTGCAACAAAAACATGGCTCCGTACAAATAGCACTTAACTCCCGTTCTATTGTGCCCTGTCACTTACATGACTCGTATTTTCAAAGGAAAATTTTTAAGAGTAAAGTTCACTTCAGTGCTAGGCCAAACCAAATAAAATCGAATAAAAAGCGTTTCATGGACAGGAAAACACATCCATATATCCGAAGACGAGAGATGAAACCCGAACGGTATATTGAGTGGTTTTAACCAAGAGCGAATGAACAAAGGCGAAAGAAAGTAACGACGACACAAACAACAACAACAACGAAAAATTGCTAACGATTTTTGCTTTTCGTTTGAGTTTCCCATATAAATAATTCAATATTCAACATTGTTGTGCTAGTGCCATTGTGTATTCGGTACGTTTAGAGCAGAATCGGGAATAGATTGCAAAAACAAGCTGTGACAAAGGTCATTTGGATAGGTATATAGACTGGTATAGTATCGCTTACACATAGGAAGTCGGTGGAACAACAGAAGCACACCAAGCACAAAAACACGCAAAAATAAACAAAACAACTGCCGAGGCCGGCACTGGGCTGGGCTAGCGAAACCAAAAATAGAATGCTACTCTCTATTTCAATTTACAGTTGTGGCCTGTCTCGTTTGATCTACGGAAACTAAAATCCATTCTTTCTAATTCTTCCTTTCTTCACTTGTTTGTTCGTGTTTGTAACGCATTCTCCTTTGTGTATTTGTCGATGTACACGCTTCTGATTGAATCACATTAGGCGTAAGTTAGTTTCTGTTCTTTTTCTTTCAAATGATTCTGCATCAAACGGCCGAGTTGTGTGAAATTTCCAGCAAAAGCATTCATATCATAGTATATTGCCCATCCTTTTGTGCCCTGAATGGCAACGAATTTCATTTACTTAATTGTTTTTTTCGAATATATGCGTTCGATGTACTAATGTACATAGTTTGTGAATGGATGCTGAGCAATAAATTCTAGGCCAGTGATTCACGCCAATGTTTACTGTCCAACCTATACTTTTGGCCGACGCAAGATAGCGGTGTCGCATAAATAAGATGTATTAGCAATTTGCGGCATTTTTAAGAACTATCAATACTTGTTGTTGTTGTCATGAATTTCGCAACAAAAAGAAGTATTGATAGTACCTAAACTTGCCGCAGACTCTATTTAGGCGCCACCGCTACTCACTGTCACGTTAAATACATTGATTCTTATGGCAGAGAAGAACAGGTTCTTACTGCCAAAAACGCGAACGCATTGAAAGTCAATGTCAAACATTGATTCGCATTTTTTCCCTTCCATCGAAATAAAATGGAATCGCTTTGGTCTAATTGTGTATATTTTGGCATCGATCTGAACGATATTTTATGTCTTTATTGTCATACACATGTCGCGAATGCTCCACATCCAAAAACCGGTCTATATATCCAATAGGCAATAAAATGTTTACTCTCACCCTGGTGCCTCCGCTGGGAAACACATCGGCATGTGCAAACACACCGACATACATTCACTCGGGGAATATTGATTCGGGCGGTGCGATTATTGCCAAGCCAGTGTTAAAAATAAATCATTCTAATAAAAAAAACTGCGTAGCATTTAAGTATTTCGCATTCTGCTTTGCCCACAGCCAGAACGACGAAAAAAAAGAACGAGATTCTTGGTTTCGGCCATCTGAAGGGTCTCTGTGGAAATCTATGGAACCTTTTCAGGGTTTCATCTAACGAAAAAAAAAATTAGATTTTCACTTTCTCAGTTCATCAGTCGAAATGATGCCGCCTGGCTTTTGATGCATACATACAATTTATGATGAATCGATAAATTTGATTGGCCAACTGATTTGCTCGCATAGAAATTCAAAGGGCAAAAACAAAAAATTTCCATGTTCCATGCTCCAGTGATTTTAACCATGTAAAATTCTGATCTTGTTTCAATTACGTTGTTGCTCGCTTGAGAACGTCTTTTCATCTATGGTGAATGTGCTGCAAATTAAATAACTGGCCGCTCCACATAAAAGAGACCAAGGCAAACCAAGGCAAATCAATTTGACTATATTCGAAATATGCACATAAAATTATTGCTGGCACATAAGTTCGATTGAATGAACGACATGATGACAGTCATAAATAAGATATTTGAGCTGTGGCCAAGAGATGAGGCACTTAAAACACTATTCCGAAGCCGGATGTCTTGTTTGGCTCAAAGCTAAGCCAAGCACTCGTTTGCGCATCGACAACGACAGCAACAACCACAGCGACGTATACCGATTTGTTGTATTTTGTCTGGATCACAGGATACTAATTAACTTAGCCACATGAATGGCTTGTCTGCCAACTTTTCATTAGCATGACACAGACCAAAAATCCAATGAACATAAAAAATAGAAAAGAGATAACACCCGAGTTGAGGTCTGAGTCTCTCAACGGAAAAAAAAACTCTTATATTTATATTGAAAAGCATAAAGTTTTCATTGCAACATCAGGGGGTGCTAAAGCTCAAAATACAGAGACACAGACACCGACACAGAGATTTATGCGACTGATAGCCAAAAGTTTGTTGCAATGTAAAGATAAAATTGGTTTTCATCACTGACCCATGTTAATTTACACATTGGTCAGTTGATGCTCGTCTAAGTCTCGGTTGTTTACGAGTGTGTCGCACTTGCAATGGCCCCATGGATTTTAATCATTTGATCAAAATAGTTTGGTGTGTACGTACAACGTAAACATACATCGACCAGTGGAACGATTACTGTATGGGATCTGAACATTTCACGAATCCGTTTCGACAGGTTTAGCTTCTGTTCATGTCCAAGTGAGTTGTATTCGGTTTTGAAGAGGCTATTAACGAGCTCGTATATCATAGCCATATCTTTGTGATTGTAGTGGCGAGAGAGAGCCGCTGACCGTGTGTGCAAAAGCCATCCTGGACGGTTAAAATTAAATATTACCATTGCTTATCGGAGGGTTCATCTCGTTTCTGTCTTTGGCGCCTTTAAAGATAATAAATAAGGTGAATTAATACATAGACTACAGTCATAAAGTAAAACTTATACGCGTAAACCAATGGCATAATCTCGCCGCACTGGAGCAATAAATGTGGCTCAACTATATTATGAATTCACAGCATCTTTTGTGTGATGTATGAGCATATGATGATGAGTGCGGACTCTGGATTGAGCCCATGAACGAAGAAAAAAAAAATAACACCACATCTACCAAAGGGATTACACATAAAAACGCATTATTTGCACGCATCTATTTTTACAAGGCAACCGATTGATGAGAGATAGAAGGAAGCCTCGGTTGACAAAACCGACATAATAAAATCGTCTCTTTTGCTGCGTATCTCCGAGAGAGTGCGAAAAGAGAGACGCACACTCAATATTGATTGCATGTGCTTTATGTGTATTTTAATATTAGGTTCAAGTACATAATGCGAGACTTTTAATTCCACACATGTTCACATTCGAATGGGTCGCCATCACTCACTCACTCTCTCACAAACACATTCACTCTGTCGCTTTTGCTCTCGTTTTTGCTTTATGATAGTGCAAAAGGCGCGAGGCACGAAAATGGATTTGCTCAAATCCATCAGACACCCGAGCACATTTGTTTTTCGCTTTTTTGTTTGCATTTTGGCATGCTTTGTTGTTGTTATTGCTGCTGCTGTTCGCCAGTGTGATATTCCCATTCATCGCTTATGCAAAATGAATGAGTGTCTATGTGTATTCATACGGAATTCATCGGTCTATATTACACACAAAGCAACGACGATGTCGATGTCGATAAACAAGAGCGTGTGCGCGCAAGTGTGTGTGTATTGCAAGATTACATAAGCATAAAACAAAATGACTATAAAAATAGCACCATAATGATAGAATTCTCGAAGAATAGCTCCATAGAATTCACATCAATATACAGCAAGCAAAATGAAAACGACGACGACGAATAAAAAAAATTTAGACAAATCTTCTGTTGTTCAGCTTCTCCTCGACTTACGCATCAGCATTCAGATCACTTAAAGGATCTGCATACATTTCACGTCGTGCATATAATACTCTCTTGTCGAAATACTTGCACTCTTA